ACATGGTCTATGACATGGTCTTTAAGTTTTTCGGAAAAAATCCTTAGATTTCCTTAGATTTTTTCTCTTCCTTAGATTTTCCTTTTGGACCATAGAATTTCCTTAGAAAAGGAAATTTCCTTGAAAATGGAAGCACTGCGTCAAATAAACAATAAGATATAGCACTTGTTCTTCGATTTTTTAAAATCAGTTATCTGCGCCATAAACAAGTGAAATAGACAAAATTCCACTGCAATATGTTGACGCGCCATATAATTTACTACAAATACGACCTTCACATCTTCGTTTCCGTTCATCTTATGACGTCACACGGCATCAATATGGCGACGGAAAAGTTCGCACGCGATAACCAACTTCAGAAGTTAAATTTGGCAACTTCTAAGCATCGCATGATGGTCAAATATATATGAAAATGCTTCTAAAAGACTGAATTTTTATTTAAGCTAAAAAAACTAGGTCCAAAAATTCGCTGCAGTAGCACTTAACCAATTATTATTGGTTGAAATGACCAATTAATTAATGGTTAATTTTATTGGTTAAAACGACCATTTTTAATTGGTTCTCTCAGATGCATCCAGGTGACCAATTTTTTTTGGTCATTTCGACCAATCAGTTTTTACAGTGCAGACTATGCCATTTCTTCGAAATACGACTATGTTGTTTAGAAATACTATATAATTATACATCGTATATAATTACATCGCATTTTAAAATTACTTCTTCAAACATTAGAATATATCTAGAGCGTTTTGCTAGTTCGATTTGCTCTTTGCCACGAAAGCAGAATGAACCGCACATAAAACTATAAAATTATAACTAATTAAACAAGACTCACCTGTAAAGTGAAGTCTGAATTCCACTAATCATCAGTCAGAAACGACCACTGAGCATGAGTAGCGAAGGAGTCACCGGGAAAGCGTTTGCGTATATGCTTCGCTAATAATTTACTCGGATGGCTGTTGCATACAGTGTTCAATTACATGATGCTTGTTGATACAGTGTTCAATTACATGATGCTTGTCTAGAACCGATATCGAACATGCAGAGACAAGAAATTATGGTCAAGAATTATAAATGATGATAAGAATGCTTTACACAATCTTTTACCTAGTAAGTTAAATCGACCTTTAAGACGGATCGGAGAGGTCATGACTTTGAACTACCAATTGTTAAAACTGCGAGGTTCAAAAACGCGTTTATAAATAGATGTCTTTTCAATTTTATATAAACTATAAAATAACAGTAATCTATAATTGTAGTATTCTTAATATGTAAACTCAGACGCTTGCTTTGAGTTTTGAAATAAAGACTTTTATTACCATATTATTATTATTATTATTTGTGCGGAAAAAGTTCTATATTTCGTTGAACAAGTATAATCCCACTTTGTCTTAAAGACTTAAAGTCATTTTGGTCCTGGCTTGCGTGAGTGACATGATTTTACTGGCAATATAGGTAATGCCGGCAAATTACTAAATTTTGATCTAGGCAAAAAGAACAAAATCCATCAGCACAGCTAGAAAGAGAGATCAATTATAAACGTCTGTGTATGTTTATCCATTCGATATTACTGTGTTCAAATGTTCTGCCAATCTCTATTCTGCGGGGTTTGGATAAAACGTGGATACGGACGGACGGGCGAACGTTGTTTTTCTTGGTGTAAATAGGTAATTGGACAATTACTGGTGTAAGACATTGTGCATAGCCGGCTATATAATGAGAGGACCATGCAGCATCCAGAATTGGTTGTACTCCGACTACTGTGGTGAATATATGTAATAAACTAAGGAAACTACGAATATAGAAACTAAAATTAGGTGAAATGTTTGTAAGATAAGATAAAAGGAGAAGTAGCCTGCTCACAGGCTCTATATAGAGCCTAAATCAGTGGACGGTTCCGGCAATTCTAAAATTGAGAACTGAAATTCTGAAAGTTGAAAGTTAAATTTGCAGCAAATCTATCTTTCGACTCACATATTTCTTATCGATAACACAAAATTCCATATCCTTTTCGATGTCATAAATTATTTTTGAAAAATGTCTAAAAGCCCTACCTTATTTCAGTTTCTCATAAAGGGTACCCTTTTTGAGATTTGTGTGACAAGTGAATTGGTTCGTTTTAATTACCCTTTTACGTCGATCCAAGTTTCAACTAAAAGCGAAAAAAAGCCGGATTATCTAACGAATATATACAAATCAAACCTCCATAAAAATAACTGAAAAGGGTACGATTATCGCTCAACTGCATCATTTTGTAAAATGACGAAAAAGGGTACCCTTTTCGGTCAACCATGTTATTTTGTAGTAAGACGAAACAGAGTACCCTTTTCGGTCAACTATGTTCTTTACATAGTAATATGAAAAAGGGTACTAGGCCGTTTGCCGTGACCTAAAAATATGCCTAGAAAACGATTTCATTAAGCATGTCGTGGAACTGAAATATTTTCACGGTAACTAACATTTTCGAACACGCTGAATTCAAATCCGAAAAGTTGCCGCTCCGTAGACCCGCAGTTTTTTCACAAATTGCATTTGTATTTTCAGTTCTTCGACGAACAGGAATAAATACGCGCCATTTTGAAATTAAATAACATCATTCAGAGTATGCCGTTTTTGCTCCCCAGTCTCCGATGCTCATGACAGAGTGACCGAGTTTAAGATTTAGAGCAATGTTATCAAATTTGCTGCAAAACAAACACAGTCACGTGGTTTTAAAAATGGCTAGTCTGAGTGATTTTCAGTTTATTTGCCAGTAAAATCGCTAAAGAATGAGAAATAAAAGTTTAAATCATTTATTTGGAAGAGAAAAGCAATAAGGTAGGTGTTCTCTGTGTATATTTTTTGAGTTTGTTTAAGGCTAAATGGCCTATACAAGAACAAACAAGTGATTATTAAAGTGCAACCATTACGATTTATTCAGGTTAGCTCTCAGACACATATAAGGAACGGATTAAGGCCAGTCTGCTTGAAAACTCACAGTAAAATTGTTCCATATCAAGTTTGCTGTTTATGGGAATTATTGTTGGTCATAAGGTGTAAACAGTGGCGCCGGCAAGGGGGGGCAGCCGCCCCCCCAATAGTTTCCAGAGTGGGTTTTTGGATTTGTCCAAATCCGATGTCGTAGGGGGGGGGGGGGGGGGGGGGGGTTGTCAAGTGTCTACGGTTGCGTGTAATGGCTAATGCGTAACTTGCGGTATACTAAACTTAATTAAAGGCTCTGACTAGTTGCCTTCTACTTATGCTCAACACAATTAAAGTATCACGAGCAGTGTCGTAAAGTGTAAAACTTATTCGCCAATGACATATGAAATATTACGTCAACCATGTGCTCACAGTGCTTGACACGTCAATCAGCATATTAACCTCCATTGAATTTCGTATCCGCACTTAAGATTCACTCACGCTATCTATTAACGCAAGTATACGTTATCATTTCGAACGTTTTTTCTATGGGGAACTAGGTAGAGTTCCTTTGATAGTACAGATCTCTACTCTAGCTACAAAATATTGGTTACGTATTAAAACCCCTAGTTATATAAATACTCTGGTGGGTAAAGCAGCACGCTTTAATATTCGATCCAATTCTCAGGCAATTACTTTTATAAACTATATATTAAAAGTAAGTGATTTGAGAGCGCTAGACCACATTTATTTAGAACTTGAAAGTTTGAAAAATTTAGGTAAATATATAAAAAATAGACTAGTTGATTACTTTATTAATTACTGGAAAGGTCAATTTCAAGAAAGTCGTTCTAATGGTAAATTAAGAACTCTCGTACAAGTTAAGAATAATTTCAGATTCGAGGAATACCTTCACGTAATTTGTAATGTCAAACATCGTCAGGCAATAACGAAATTAAGAATATCCGCACATAAATTACCAGTTGAATCTGGCCGATATAACAAAACCCCCTACAATGAGCGAAAGTGCACGTTATGTCAATCAGACGAAATCGGCGATGAATTTCACTATTTAATGTCATGCCCCAATAACGAATTTGTCAGTAAAACTCCGAAATACTTTTGTAACAGATATATGCAAAATCAACTCATCCTTCCGGTCAATTGATACAAAAAACTTATTTCTATATATACTAAATGTACATGATAATTAGTCTATCATGAAAATAATTTCAATATACTTTCATGATACTCTCGCAATGTACGATAGTCTTTTGTAGAATTTCTAGCTTTAATATTATAATACCCAATAGTTTATTAGATTTTATATTATATTATTGATATTAGAGTTAATCAATATTAGTACGCATGTCGCACTCCTAACCATGAACTATATGGTACGTACTTTATTGTTTAGTTTACAGTACATTAGGTACTTATATGTAAATGTTTTCATATATGCCTGTTTGGTATTTGTTGTTATTGAAATATATTATTATTATTTTCGTCGAATTCGATGTGCAAGATCGTATGCCGAGAAAATACTCGAGATACTAAATACTAATATTTATATTTAATATATAATATATAATTGAAAACTTCAAATCAACCATAAAAAAATTATTAAAGAATAGATGCTACGAAGCGAAGACTGAATATAATAAGGGGTTTTCAGTATGCTTAATTTAAAATATGTATAGGCGTTAAACTATTAGTGAAAATGTCAACGCGCAAAACAGGAAATTCAAATGTGTTGCCATTACGTTAGATTAAATCTAGGCGAGGCAATAATATGATTATTTATCTAAAAATTTTATCAATGTTCCAGCCCAACATTCATAAGTCCAATACGTGCATTAGGCCATTAGCATATTTTGCGCTTAAACAAAATCGCGTGAGTGGCACTACAGTTTATTCAGTTAATGTTCAGAATGGCCGAGTCACAGTCATTCGATCTTAGCACTTATGACTACGATCCTTCGTCCCCGATACCTTCCAATCGAGATGCGAGAAATTATGTTATATCAAAGGGTCCTTGTCAACCAAAAGATTTTACATTCCCAAGAAATAGCAATGGTATAGTAGGAGATTCCTTACAGCTTGGTATGAAAATTTCAAGTGGCTTGAATACTCTAAGAAGACAGACAGCTAGAGCACTATTTTGTTTCTTTTGTCGCACGTTCAATCGCCAGGTGAGATCTTTTATACCAACGGTAACTGGACCGATGTGGACTGTAACAGCTTATATTTTGCACGTCTCCTTTTAAAATTTATATATAATATGTAATTTTTATATAAATTATAGTATGATATAACTTTAATATCTTAAATTCATCAGTGCACAGTCAAATCAAATTCCCTTGTTGTAGATGTGCAGTAGGTCCGAGAAGGCGTTCATTACCGACGGATTTTCAAATTGGAAGAAACCGAAAACCTTTACGACGCACCAGAACAGCGATGGTCACAGACTTGCCTCCGAGGGATATTCAATCTGGCTGAAGCAGAAGCCGATCGACCAACAATTAAACGAACATGCTAAAATCCGGGCGAGTGAGAAAGAGATAGAGGTAATGTATGTAATGGCATTTTTTCAATCATAAGCGACATTTTAGCACTTTTATAGATGAAAATGCACGCATACGTATAGTTTGATATATTGCATGATTATTCCAAATTAATGTCTTTTAAGGTGAAACGAAAACGTACAGTGATCGGGAGAATAATTGATGTTGTAAGGCTGCTTGGAAGACTGAACTTACCATTTGTAGGTCATCGGGAAAATCAAACATCCACGAACAAAGGCGTTTTCATAGAGATAATCGCGCACTTTTCCAAACATGATGCTATCATGGACTTCCATTTAAACAATGCTAAAGGTTTGTGATTTAATTGGCTATACTGACAATTGTTTAGGCCAAATAACTTTAATTTAATGTTGTACTTTATTCGTGTAGCTGTTTTGTGCATTCCACAGCTCTTTGTGGAACTTTGCCAGAAACTTTGATTTAATTATTTGATTCCTGATTTATAAATATTCTTCATTCAAAAACTCTCTGTTAACTGGTTTACATGTCATGCTGTCATGCTAGGCTAAGTTAAAAGTATTCCGGCCTGCTTACATTACTAAAGTGTTCGTTGTAATATTTCTAAACCTAGCTACAGTGATAGGTCCGGTTAATTTCACCAGGCTGATTGACATAATCTGGTAAATCCAACCATGATCTTTCAGGATCACGGAGTTTGCAATCAATAACATATTATTTTAGTTTGATTTGAATGTTGTTATCTCAACAGATAATACAAAATACACAAGTCATCAAATCCAAAATGAAATGATTGATGTAATTGGGACGGTCATAACGGATGAAATACTCATAAAACCATTACAATGTGTTACTATATCTGACAGTATATCATACATGCTACTCCATTTTACTCAACTATATATGCATTATACCTAGTTATTATTTAATCAAATAATTATAAACTCTCCCTATATATTTTTCTAATTTTCTCATACGCTAGTTTTGGAAGGTACATGCATGCATATAGAGAAGAGTTTATAAAACTCTTCTCTATATAGAACTCTGCTGTTTTAAACGACCTGATGAAGTCCATCTGTGCACACTATACTACACGAATTTGTTAATATTATAATTATAGTACTGGACTTTCTACAAATGTCGTACGCGTACCAAAATACATACATACACTATGCTGGAAATGTCATATGTTATTTCATTGCTGGTAATGTTTTACGACGACTTGCGTGAAACTGTTAAAATGTATTAACTTCGGTGCAAGAAAAGCGCGTCGTTTAAACTTATGTCGAGTTTTTCCTAGACAATGTGACATGATTTAGCGAAATTTGTGCCGTGTCGCACGCAGTTATTCAAACCTTGCAAGAGTTAATTGATTTAGGCAATTAGGCACGGATCTACTGCCGCTTTCAATCGTTGTATCATATTCGGCACATATAGGCAAAATTCGTAAACTGGTCAAAGCATGCAGGTATATTATTAAGACTGATCAATATTATATGTTTGTTTTGATGCAATTGTATTTGTAACATAACGACTCTTAGTTATTCGGCCAGAATAATAATATAACTTAAGTGAATTAGTTGACACTAAGCTGACGCTATTGAGACGGAAAAGGCAAGCTCGCGGATTTAAACAACCTTTTAACATTCCGCGAGAAAACTATTGCTCAATCTTATTGTTGCAGTATTTCACCGCAACAGTTTCGACGCTGCTCTAATAAAATAGCAAGAATATTTAATATTGTGAGGGGTGGCGAACTTATATTATACTGCTGTCCGTAATACTATAATAGACTAATAGACGGTGTTCTTTGTAAATCCTACAAGACAACCGGTTTTAGATAAACTTTTAAATGCCTATACAAAGCCAGCTTATAAACATTGTAAAGACGTTCTGTAAGGCATTTAAACGGCTTCATGAACGTATTTGAACATTTTGCGCCAATCGTTCGAACGGTTTAGCAGAACTGTTTTCAAATGTTTTTGTCCAACCGTTTGAACGGTCCATTAAGAAGTCTGAACGGTCCATTAAGAAGTCTGAACGATCTCAAATATCGTTTCAACGGAAAGCCAAAGCGTTTAAACGGATAACGAACGGATAACATATATCATGTCGAAGAGACAACAACCTTCGAGAGGCAGCACGCAAGAATTTGCTAAATCTGCCCATAATACGCCTAACAAAGTAAGGAATTCAGAAAATAAGACACCTAAGACATCTAAGAAAGCAATGACATCTGAAAACCCAGAAGAAATTAGCAAAATCGACGAGTTATACACCATGATGAAATCTGTTATGGTGAAATTGGAGACGCTCGACTTGATCAATGAGCGCATTTTATCTGTCGAGCAAAACGTGAAGAGCCTGACTAAGTCTATGGAGTTTGCTCACGCAGAAATCGCTGATATCAAGGAGGAGATGAAACAGAGAAAAAAAACGGAAGAAAAAAACGTGACGAGGATTGGGGAACTCGAAGAGTCAAACAGGAGGCTTCAAGAAACCGTGGTCGACCTTAAAGCAAGATCAATGCGGGACAACCTACTGTTCCACAACATCGAGGAATCCGACGAAGAAGATTGCGCTGAGGTAATCTATAGCTTGTTAGAGGAGAAATTGGATGTGCCAGACCCGCGTCAAAATATTAAAATCGACCGTGCGCATAGAGTTGGCAGAAAACGCGATAGTCGCAGGAAGCCGAGAGCTATTGTTGCCAAATTTAATTTTTTCCCGGATCGAGAGAAAATCCGCCGAAACGCCAGGAAACTGAAGGGAACAAGGATTGGGATCTCCGAACAGTTCCCTGAAGAAATAGAGAAAGTGCGGCAGAAATTATACCCAGAGATGAGAAGAGCGAAAGCGGAAAAACAAAGAGTGCGTTTAGTGCGTGACAAACTTTTTATCAATAATGTGGAATTTATTCCCAATAACAGTTAAAAGGTATTGCGTTAAAAATATTAACATTTTATATCTATTCTAGTTTAATATGGCTTCTACAAACATAGAGATAAAATTATGCTCAACATGTCTTCGTGAAATAGTCATGGATAAAAACGGCATTGTTTGTGTGACGTGTGGGACGTGGTTCCATGCCAGGAACGCTTGCATTCAATCACCTCGCACATGTCAACAGACGGAAATTGAAACATGTCACTTGTGCATAACCGATGCTTTGCCTTTTAGCTCAATAAGTGAACTTGATTTTAATTTTACTTTTGGAGATTTTTCCCGACTTCCCAACGAGAGGGATATGGATAGATTAATGCAACTTAAATTCAACCCTTTTGACATGCAACACACAACTACCGGAAATAGAGCCGGAAATAATGACTGCGACAATAATATGCTTAGTAACATTGGTAACATCTCATGCAAATATTATCTTCCAAAAGATGTCTCGCGAGACATATCAAATAACAAACTCTTTTCTATTTTGAATCTAAACATAAGAAGTATAGTAAATAAACTCGACTCTTTTAAGATTCTGTTAGAATCACTAAAACACTCATTTTCAATAATTAGTTTAACAGAAACTTGGCTTGATAACGAAAACTGTACAGATTTTAATCTTGATAATTTTAGCTTTGTTTGCACGAACAGAGACAATAAAAAAGGCGGAGGAGTTGGAATGTATATTTCAGATGATTTAAACTTTAAACTTCGTCCTGACCTTAATATTAATGAAGAAGGAGTAATTGAGTCACTCTTCATTGAATTCGAAATAGTCACAACAGTTGGCAAGAATATAATTGTTGGCACGATTTATAGACCGCCGAACGGAAAATTTGAAATATTTGAAACTGGTATCAGTAAAATTCTTACAAAAATAGACAAGTAAAAAAAAATAACTTACTTAATGGGGGATTTTAACATAGACCTTTTAAAAACTGAAAGTTGTGACATTTCGGACAGATTCAGTGAGCAACTTTTTACATCATCATTTCTCCCTCTTATAACTAGGCCTACGAGGATAACGGAACACACCGCAACATTAATTGACAACATTTTCACCAATGACATTGAACAAATTGAAAGCAGTAAGAATGGATTAATTTTTACTGATATTTCAGATCATCTTCCCATTTTTCATATTACATCTTTAGCTAGGAAAATATATAATTCTGAAGGCAAAACTTCGCAACTTCGAAGAATAATAAACAATAACAATCTTCTATCATTTTCAAATACCATGAAACTGATGTCATGGGATAACATTATTGAAAACAATGACCCTTGCAAAGCATACAACATATTTCATAATAACCTAATACAAGCGTTTGAAAAGAGCTTTCCTTTGGTAAACAGGCAAAAACGAACTGTTGACTATGACAAAAGTCCCTGGATGACTCAAGGTATTTCTAAATCTATAGAAATTAAAAACAAACTTTATAAAAAGTATCTTAAAAACCCAAGTGTTAAGAG